GATTAAGCATTTGCTTGGTTACAGTAAACTTTTGACTATTTTCCAGAGTTCCGATAAAGTTAATTCTGACAGTTTTCACCAGTTTTTTTCTGTGATGAAGCTGTCTTGGACTTTCTTCTTCTACCCTTTTCTGTGAAATTACCTACAAAGGCTTTTATGGCCCATGTGAATATGACATATTTTTGTTACACACACTTTCTAGAATCCTTAAATTTTCTTATCGATATTAATATCAACAAGAGTTTTACCTTAAAAATAGTCATTTAACATTTTGAAGTTATGAAAATGTTCTTTAGTATTGCATGGCATACTGTCACATTGTAGTTGCTGTATCATTAATCAGTTTTATACTGTGATAAGCTTTTACATCAAAACTTGAAAGACAAATTTATAGTTAAACTTGCTATTATTAATACCACTAATTTGGGTCAGTCTAAACCTGCAGTTCCCAAGTTCCTCTTAAATCTGAGGCACCCTACAATACCAAAATGAATTCACAGGAGCACAATAGGATATTTTAAGTTTTCAAGGAAAACAGCATTAACTGCACTTCCTATAGTTACCAAACTACTAGCTCAAGGTAGTTGCAGTTTCAGCATTAGGTGGAGCTACATTCCTTTCAATGATGTCATATATTTGTGAAGCTGGTTTTCCTTGGTTGCTGTGATTTTTAAAAATGCCGTGTAGAGTAGGAAATCAGGGAAGCAGTTTCCAAACTGATTCCAAAGTTTGAGAAGTTGTATGGTGCCCCGTAGGTACACACATCCCATTAGAAAGCAATATTGCTTATTTAAGAATAAGATAAAAATACTTTTTCTTATAGTTATGTATATTATTTTCTTAATAGCTATTAGTTTGTGAGCACAGATATCAATGATCTCCTATGTTTGAGCCTAACTATTTAATAAATAGAACTGTTAGATATTTCTTTTGGCCCATGGCATGGTGAAAATATAAAACATTAGGGTACCATGAACTTGAGAAAGCTTGGGAGCCACTGGTCTGTCACCACCATACTGTAATAGCTGTTTATCTTTCCAGTCATATCAGTATAACTCCTACCATGATCTGCTATCACAGTTAAACTGAAACTAATTTTTGCACAGTGCTCCCCTGCCTTGTTTAAATGTCTTCACTTTATTATCCATCTTATTGTACGTGTTTTTAAATCAAAACTGGAATATGCATCTTTAAAGAACAAAGACCTCATTGTCTATCTGTATATACTATTTGTGCATAGCATAGGACATTTTATACATTTGACAAATACTTGCTAAGTACTATTTGATAATTAGGCAGGACTAATTATCAATTTCACCATTTTTGGCTCAGTGCTGAACATACTGTGGATACTCAAGAATTTCTGAATGAATCAGTGGTTAAAATATGGTTGCCAAATATTTGGAAATTAACAGTATTTCTAGAAAAGTAATAAAGCCACATTTTATAAACTCAGCTGATATGGCTGGATTTTTTTTCTTTTTCTATTCTAGTCTGTTCTTCCTCCCAGCTCTTGAATTTTAACCTCTTTTCAGTTCTTTCTTTTCCTGTTCTTCATTTTCTTACTGAATTTTACTCAAAGTGATGTAAATTACTAATCTGAAAAGAAGTATCTTACAATTCCTAAAACATTTTGGTTTTGGGAAAAAAAACAAACTTCTTTAACCTCCTACTGGACCATAAACTAAATATGACTAGGAAGAGAAATAATACTTATATTGATAGAAGATTAGGCATGATGAAAGTTGAATATGGATAAATAGTAAGAGGATTTATTGTTCTGAATTTTTCACTGCATGCTATTATTTGTGGTTTGTCTCCTTTAGACTCTGGTTTCTTTTGTGGTTGTATGTTTATAGTGCTGAAATTCGCAAATTTGTTGCCATTGTGATGTAAGGTATAATTGATTTTTTTTTTGCTCTATGTTTTGAGAAATTTACAAACTTTTATAAGAGGAAATTTCCTCAGAATTAAAAAAGATGTTAGTTGTACCAAGATAAAATACTGAATTAATAAAATGGATATAAAATAGTTTTTCCAGACAGTTGAAAATAAATAAAGCATTTACTTGTTCTGATGTAATTCATAGCTACTGTTTATGAATGCAAACATTTACTTCTTGGTTTTGCTTGTTTTTAAAATTTTCATAATATAGATTATGAAGACAAAGAATGCAGTTTTGAGCTATTTCTAATGTAGTTAATATTCTATTGCAATTGTGTCGCTTCATGAAAGAAACTTTCTCTATGTTTAATAAAAATCTTAAGTCCCTCCAGATTTTTTTTTCTAAATGAAAGCAGGTGTTGAGCATTGTCATGTCCTGATATATTGAAATTACTAAAATATTTAATAAGCTACCATGGTTTGAAGTAGTAGCCAGATGTTTTCAGTTTCCCCAGGATGACTTTTACAGCTCAGCATTTACAGTGGAAATGAGCTAAGTTTGCCAGTTAAACAACAACCGAAAGCAAATAAAAAACAAACACAACAAAGTTTTTTGAACTAAAATAAAAATGGTATCCATTATACTTAATCTGTCTTCATATACTTAATCTGACTTCATACTAAGATTTCCAAAAGATTGAAGCTACACCCTCCACCTTATTATGCCTTATTGAGGCATAACTCACATATCATAGAATTCACCCATTTTAAGTATACAGTTTTATGAGTTTTTAGTAAATGTATATGGTTGTTCTGCCATCATCAATATCCAGTTTTTAGAGCAGTTTTATTGAGGTATAATTGACATACAATAAACTACACATATGTAAAGCATATAGTCTTGGCTTTCCTAGTTTCCAGTGAGAAATCTGCCATCCTAATCTTTGCTCCTCTGTATGTAATGTGGGGTTTTTCTCTTGCTTTTAGTGTTTTCTGTTTATCACTGGTTTTGAGAAATTGGATTATGGTGTGCTTTGATATGGTTCTGTTTCTTTTGTTTGATGTTATAATTTTCATCAAATTTGGAGAATTTTTAGCCATTTTTTCTCAATTATATTTTTCCCTCAGTCTCTTTGGTCTTTCATCAGGAACTTCAATTACACATATTAGCCACTTGAAGTTAAATTCACAGTTCACATATGTACTGTTTTGGTTATTTTCTATCTCCCAAGTCTTTCCTTTCTATTTTTGATAATTTCTATTGTTATGTCTTCAAGTTCATTCAGCTTTTCTTTTGCAGTGTTTATTGAATCTGCCACTAATCCCACCATATGTGTTTTTTTTAAGTCTCAGACATTACCTTTTTTTTATCTCTAGAAATTTGGTTTGGGTTTCTTTTATTTCTTTCATATATATATTCAACATTTTAAACAGATTAACTGTTTTAATGTCCTTGTCTGCTAATCCTAACATTTTATGTCAGTTAAGCCACCAAATTTGTGGTAGTTTATAATGCAGTAATAGAAAACAAATACAGCTGGTATTCTTTGATTAGATGGCAGACATGGTGAACCTTATCGGGTACTGGATATTTTTGTATTCCTATGAATATTCTTGAGCTTTGTTCTAGTTATTAGGAAATAATTTGATCTTTTGGGTACTGCTTTTTAAGATTTGTTATATGGGATGGCAAGAGCATTGTTTGGGGGTAATTCTCTACTCCTGGGGCAACACTCCTCTGACGACTTTCTTTAATGCCCCATAAATTGAGATTTTTTAAGCCTGGTTGGTGGGAACAGACACTGTTCCTTCTAGTGTACACTGATGATTGTTCCTTCTACCCTTTTTAGGTGGTTCTTTGCTCTGCCTCAGGTATTTTCTTCATAGGCAGGTGCTGATTAATATATTGATGAATATGTGGTGGGGGAAACCCTCTGAAGATCTCAAGAGTTCTTTCTTTGAACAGCATTCTCCTTTACCAACTGTTTTGTGAACTCTAGCTGCCTTGGTTTCCTGGTGCTCTTATTTTTGTCTTCTCAGCTTGACTCCATCTGAGTTCCCACTCCCTGCACTGTGTCCTAGAAACCCTTAAGACAGTAAGCTGTCTTAGGCCTCATCTTGTTTGTTTTGTGTCTCTCAGAGATCACTGTTCTTGATTGCCTAATGTCCAATGTCTTTAACACTTTTTTCATATATTTGGTCTGATTTTTCTAGTTGTTTGAATTGAGAGGCTTTATTCTACTAATTCTTAGTTACAAATGTCAGTCCTTCAGCTACTTTTAAATAATTAAAAACTTTAAATAAAATAAATTTTAATTATTTAAATTCAATGGAACAACTTTTACCAGGAAATATTCCTCCTAAAATGTTATGCCATGTGCAATATCTAAAATTTTAATACTGAAGCACCATTTTAAATTCTAGTATACTAATTCTAGGCCAAAGGATGACAAAGCCATATCTCTGAATGACCTAACTCACAGATCCTCACTTTCATTTTGAGCACCATTAGTATTTATTTGCTTAAGGAAAGTGAAGGTTTTTTGCTTAGATAATTATAACCCATAATTATTTGACTAAATTATCAGAAATGGAAAGATAATGTCATTTTATATCTCAAGTAGAACATAAACCCATTTATACAAAAAACTGTAAAATTTTCTGTATTAATTAGATAAATGTTAAAATAATTGTTATTCACATAGTCAGACTTCCTTGTTTCTAATTTTTGTATGCTATTTTATGGCATATTATTTAGGTTTATGCTTCTCCTCCCATTTTCTCTAACTACATAATTCTATAATTTTTCCATGTAATTATAGAAGTAAGTATTTAGATACATTTAGAAGTTTATATAACTTGTTTTGTTTTATGCCTTACAGATAGCTTTTGGGAGATGCTGTTCATTTCTATACAATTTCTTATAGTTATTTTAATTAAAAATTTTTAATGGTTTCTCTAATTAAAACAGGAAGATGATGGTTATCTCATAGATCGTCTGGGAGAAGAGTTTTTGTTGTTTAAACAGATCGTTTTTTTTCTGTTTCTGAACAGATAACAGAGACATAGTTCGATATTAAGAATTGATGTTATTGGATATTTATTTATGCTAACAGGTACTTTGGAAGTTCGTCTTATGGGCTGCCAAGATATCCTAGAGAATGTTCCTGGACGGTCAAAAGCAACATCAGTTGCGCTACCTGGTTGGAGTCCAAGTGAAACCAGATCATCTTTCATGAGCAGAACGAGTAAAAGTAAAAGCGGAAGTAGTCGAAATCTTCTAAAAACCGATGACTTGTCCAGTTCAGTAACCAGATTTTTAAAAATCATTTAACAAATTAAAGGGCCTATCCAAGGGACTTAACAATGGGGAGTGTTCAAGTTGGCCAAAAAACTTTAAAATTATGATTTTTATAATTTAATTTTAAAATAGTAAAACCTATAATAGGAAACAAATGGCAACAGATTTTTTATTTTGTTGAAAATATATTAGAAAACGGAATGACAACATTAATTCGTTTGAAAGAATGAAATACTGAGTAACACTTTTTATTCCAAACTGAAATTTTGATAACTAACCATTGGTCCAGACATGTTTACTGAGATAGTAGCCCAGTAGTCAACTGAGATGAGGGATAGGAGAAGGGGTGGAGAGAGTAAAATGCAAGAGGTTAGGAAGCACTTTGGAGACATTCTGAAGTATGATTATTAATATAAACTATATATAAATGTATACTAGAAGGGGGGGAAGGCATGTGACAATTCAACCTAGTATATAGTACAAAGATAAACTTGCCTATGTTTTCTGATATATGATGGAAACTTTGGGGAAAATGTGAAAATAAGCAGTTATTTAAGGCAATAAACTTTATAAATAGCAATTGTAGAGAAAGAAAAACTGGATGATTAATAGTGACACACAAACATATATACTGTAGTATTACTGACCATTGTGGCAAACAACTACTGGTCACCTGTTAGTCCTTTCAGTCGCATTCCAGTATAAACCAAATAGGTAACAGTTATGATTTGTGTTTTTATTAAACACAAAGGATAATTTGGGAGGGTCTTGTTGGGAGTGTGTGTGTATATCTAACTAGCCATTTAGGATTCAAAATTTCAGTATTGATTATGAAAAATCTTATTTTCAAGGGGTCTTAAGATTTTTCTTGCTATGAAATAGTGGTACTTCTGTTTTAAAGGTTTAAAGTTTTTAAGGAAATTTATAAAATTTAATTACAGATGACATCTGTGCTGTTTTGAAGCTAGATAATACTGTGGTTGGTCAAACTAGCTGGAAACCCATTTCCAATCAGTCTTGGGACCAGAAGTTTACACTGGAACTAGATAGGGTAAGATGAGAAACTTTTTGCTTGAATTTTTATTATATTTGTTATTCATTTTCAATGTAAGTTTTATTTTTTAGAATGCTTTAAGAAGTTTCATTCTTAAGAATAAAAGAAGAAGTTAGATATTTTTGGCATTTTTTATTTCATAAGTTGTACATAAGTCTACCTTAAGATAGAGGTGCATATAAGATTGTTGCAGGAGCTTTCATTTGTGTAGTGATTAGCAAAATGTATAGTTTATATTAACCTGAAAGGTCAGCAGCAAGGTGAGTTGTTAGAAATTTGTTATTTTAATAACACACTGTCTAACCACTAACGTGATTCTAATGACTCACCATTTGTAGGTTACCTTATCAGAGCTGCATTCATTTGTCTCAGTGTTTTTCAAGAACGATATATTATGGGTGGAATTCAATCTGTCCATAGAATCCTGCAGAAATGAACTTGGTCCACAGTAGTTTTCAATCTATGATGATAACTGTATTTTAGGTTCAAATCCATCCATTGGAGTGTGGGGAGGAAAATATTAAAATAATTTTATCTAAAAAATAAAGATATTAAGCTTTTTCATTATTCATTATTTAGTATTCAGATTGGTGATACATATGTCATTTAAAAATTACTTTTATTTGCAAAAGCAGATTTTTAATGTTAAATGATATGAGCTGTGAAAATGTTTGGTGATTACTGTTCTAGCCTCTACTTTTAAAATATTTTTCCAATTTATCTTTTATTATCTTCACAGCCAGCAACCTAATTCAGACCATTATGGTTACTTTTCTTGGTTCAGATACTGTCTGCCACTTAAATGTTGTATGCACTTGCACCAAATACTTAGCTTTTTATGTATTCCAGTTTCCTTATCTTTAATATGATCTGTCTCACTGAGATGTGTGAGGATTAAATATATCCTCTAAAAATCTTAGAATAGTTGTAAGAACTTGATTAATGTCAGCTATTTTTTCTAAAGTAATCTAACTAATCTCCATGTGTCTATGTACCAAACTCATCTTCAAAGAACACTAATTTCATCCTGGCATTCCTACTCAGATTTAGGACTGTTAACTTATTCATTAAATCATTCATTCATTTAATCAACAAATATTCATTGATACCCTCTGTGTGTTCCAATATAAACAAGGTCTCCCATATTCCCTCAAGGAACTTATAGTTCATTGGCTTTTCAGTAGATATCTACTTAGTTGCAGACTTTTTACCATTACATCAAAGATGTATATAAAAGTCTACTACCTTATTTCCCAGACCTACCTTTATTTTGATGATTTCAGTTTAAAAATATTGAGGACTTTGCTAGGCTAAGGTGTTTATTCTTGGTAGTAGAGATAGGAGAGAGAGATAGAAGAAAAATTGATCTTGGGATTTGTTTGAAGGATAAACTTGAGGGGTTGGCAAGAAATTACTACAATTGTACAACTATTAGATGATAAGAGCTTGAACTAAAATGTGACAGTAGGAATAGAAAGAAAAAGGTATATGTGGGTATGACTTAATAACTAATTGGATTTCAGTCAAGAGGAAGGAATTTGTCAGTAATCAGCAAAGAAAATGATGCCACAGAAATTAGAAAAGGTCTATATTAGAGGGAGATAGGTTCTATTTAACCAGTTTTTAGTAGTAAATAAAGATACAGAACTGGAAGTCAGGGCTAGGTAAGTAGATTTGGAGGTCATCTAATTGTAGGTTATAGTGAGCACCATCCAAGTGGGTTAAACCAATCCATTATTCTACAGGCACTTATTAAGCACCTTACATATGTGAGGCATTTTGCTAGGTTTTCGGTTTATAGAGATAATATGTACTCATTGCTTTAGTGGAACTCTAAGACTTAATAATCACTCATTTTGTGTTCTGTGCCAAGCACTGTCCTAGACGTCCTAGATGCTGGGGATGATTAATCATAACAGTCAAAATCTCTATGCTTATGGACCTTATCGTCCAAAGAGGGAAGATAAATAGTAAACAAGTTTTAAAAAATCTACAAGTGCAGTGAGCGAAATGAACACAGTGGTGTAAGGAGTAGGGGAGACTTTACAAAGTTAATTAGGGAATCTCTTGAGGAGGCTGACGTGAGACCTGAAGGGTAAAAGTTGCCAGAGTTGCAGAAATCCAAGGAAAGAGTGTTCCCAGCAGAGGATACAAACATACTAACTCTCTGAGGTAGGAGATGGCTTTATATGTTACAGGCAGAAAAATCTTGAGACAGAAGAGCAGTATGATGTAAAATAGCATAGAGAGGTAGGTCCCAGATTACTAGAAAGTTTATAGGCTGTGAATTGCAAGACAATTGAAGGGTTTTTAATAGAGGAGTTTGACATCCTCTGATTTACCTATAGTAAATGATCTGGTAGAAATAAGTGCTATCTACTATAGAAACTAATGGAGTTACTAACCCATAATGAGAAAGAGTTTATAAAGGAAAAAAAAAAGCACATACACATCTAACATCAAATCTTAATCAGTATCCCAGAGGTAGGAAGAGAGAAAGAAAGGTTTGCCAAGAAGAAAACTTTGTGTTGGATCAGATCATACCTAGAACATTATATAACTTTTATCCAGTGAAGAATTGCCAGACTGATGAAATGAAAATCCTGTTACATATGTAACAATTGAGAGAAAATGGGATTTTAAACCTGATAAAGAAGAGGTTTAACAAAGATTTGATAACTACCTTTAAAGTTAGGAGGAACATGTGGAATAAGAATTAGACTAGGGATAGCAATGAAGTCTCAATTTGTGTGTCAACTGTCATCAGCGGTAGGGAATTCCAGGGGCTCACTCTTGAGAACATTCCTGGGTCCTGGTTTTTAGAGGAGGTCACTCTGATCAAGTAGCAGTGTTTGCCAAACGCTTGAAGGAGGGAGGGGACATCTTCTGTCATTAGATTAACTATGTACTTTGTGGCTATGGAGGACAAAACAAAAGTCAACGGCAGATTCATTTCAGTACAAAAAAGAATGATGATATTAAAGAATAAATGAAATGAGATGCTAAAGGAAGTGGTAAGTTATCAGTCCAATGAGTAACTTACAAGAGAGACTTTAAGAGAATTCTTGTATCAGAAACTGTTACACTTCTAAGATTTTATTTAACTCTAGATTTTCTTCTTAAGGATAGGACAAGAACTAGCATTGTTACATGCTATCATTTAATAGTTTAACAAGATAATTAGACCATGATAATTCAGTGAAGCCCAGTAGAGAAAGAGATACAGTTGAGATTCTTAGTGTATATCATATCTTGTTATATTTGCATTTTCTTTCTGAACTGTGTGATAGGTATTAATATTTATGACCATAAAATGTTTCTTTCAGTTTCCACTCTTTTTCTGGGTAATAGGTTTTCTATAACTGACTTTGAAGCCAGATGGACTGGGTTCAGAGTCCATCTGCTACTTCTTAGCTGTTGGATTGTGGGCAAGTTACATAACCTTGCTACTGGGCATTTGTTTTACCTTCTCTAAATTAGGGGTAACAATGTAATATTCACAGGACTGTTAGGAAGAAAACCTGAAGTACTGTATATAAAATGCCTTGTATTATTTGGCACATTTTAGCCATTCAATGATTTTCTTTAGCCTTGGGCTTCAAAGCATGGCTATGAATTTGAATATAATGAAAGGGCATTTTAAGTAATGGGAAACTAATTAGTTGAATGTCATTTTCATTTCAGAGCCTATTTAAAGTAATTATAGGATTTTTGATAAGTAATATGATCAAAATGAAACTTAAAGAATTATCATTAGAGGGAAAATGACTAGCCAGGAGATTTCCATTGTATCAAGGTTATTGTTATAGAGTTTTATATTTAAAAGAGAACTTAAAAGTAATTCAGTGTCTTGCCATTATTTTATAATTAAGGAAACCAAGATTGAGGATAGTTACATGTTACTAAATTTCAGAACTGGTACTAGGCCTTCAGTGTTCTTTTAAATGGATGCTCTTTCCTCTGTGGTGATTTAAATGAGAGGAAGGTAACTGTGGCACAGAGGAGGAACCAACAAAAAATGATGAGTGCCTGGAACACAGGAAAAAGTTTAAAACTGGAAGCTTTGAACAATTGAAAGATTATAACTGTTGATATGATTGTTCTTTACTTGAATTAGTAATTCTTTACCTAAAAATGTTTTTCTTCTATATGGCATCAGACATTCTTCTCGCTTTAGAGTAATCCTCCCTTTGAAACTTTGGAGACATTGCATGGCTAAGTAGACCTTGTAGGTTCCTGATATGCATGCTCCTTGTCCCTAATTTGATTATAAACTTTTCCTTGGCAGAGACCACATTCCCTATTAAAATAGCTCCTTCTGTTTACATAGTACATTTTATGTTTTTATGTCCTTTTAACTTTTATTCCTTATATTTATAGAATATTTATTTATAGAAAATGATTATAAAAATATTTATAGAAAATGTTATTTTAAACTGACATGGTTGTTTCCAGCATTTTGCCTCATATGTCAAGTTTCACTTCCATGGCATTCTGGAACTAAGTTCTCTGTGCTGTTTCTCTCCTTTTCAAGACATAAAAGTCATAGGTCTTTTTAGAATTGTGGGATAATTCTAGAAATGATATAGATCTAAAATGATTTAGAAGAGTTCAAATTATGTTCCAGAGAGCTTCAGTATTCTACAGAATTATCTCAGGAGGCAATACAGAGTCTTTTTTTGTTACTTTGGAATTCTGTGTAAGATGTCATTAGAATTTTGACACTTTAAAGATAAAAGTTTTAAATTCCTTCATTTTGCAAATTAAGGAAATTATGGTCTAGGTGCTAAATAACTAGTTTAGGGTATAATCTAGGATTCTTAATGAAGTCTACTCACTACTAGTTCTATGTTTTCTATTCTACCAGGTTATTCTTTTTATATTTTCTTGTAAAATTTGGTCTTTATTATAAACACAGTAGCTGTGCAGTTTTCATTTTCACTGAATTTCCTTAGCTATCCTATTAAAAACTTAGGCTTCCATGAGAGACTGAAATA